CCCGATCAAATTAGGTTATAACGTGGAGATTATATGATTCTTGCATACATCAACTTGACATTAATTTCACAAACCACTTTGAGCTCGAATATAAACCGGAACACTTGCGGCTCCACTTGCGTGTTCGATGTCTCAGTTCCGCCAAAGCGAAATAATTGAAATAGAGTAAATCCGACTACGGTGCTACGTGACTCGCTTGCGAAGTGGTCGAGCTGGGCCTATTTTTTGTTCGTTCGCCTAATATTATGCTTATTTCGGACATGATCATTTATATCATGGCGTTCGGGACTGGCTTGATTGACGCAGGCCTCGATTTGAATTGCTAAATGATCTCGTCGGCTCCCAATGAATGGCCGGCTAATTTGTGAGATTCTCCCCAAAGTGAATTCATTAAAAACTATTTTTAAAGGAATCAATTTGAAAAAGAATTTTAATTGACGGTGTTTTTGATTCGACCGAGTGGGTATAAATTGTGCGATACATTGTATTCAAGAATTTCAATAAGGAACTTGGATTGCGAGCTTAAACATAGAGATAAGAACCAAACCCATTAAGGTAAAAATATTGGGAGGATGGGGGTCATTAAAGATTAAAGTAATTGGAATAAAATGGTATACATACTTAAGATAGCCTTAAACAGAATAGATAGAATTTTAATACCGAACTTGGACTGCGAACTTAAAAGCAGAGATAAGGACTACAACTGGTTTAGAGGCTTAAAGCTTTTGGAGTACCATTAAAAGTTTTTGCAGATTAAAGTATGTGACCAACCGGTACAGTAATTTCAAAGCACTTTATTAGGTAAAAATCTTGCAATATAACATTTTTGATTTGCTGTTTATTGGTCATCAAATGGTCGACTCCGTAGACCATTTCTTACTGGTTATGGCCGCGAATTAGCATAAAACTCGACGTGAACAGTTAAATAATATGGTTGATGAGTGATTTTAAGTGTGTGTATGTTGTGTGTGTGCAGTTAGCTTAAGTGCTGCCTAATGACAACTTCGCTGGCCGCTCGCCATAGCCATCGCCATCGTCTTCGTTGTGGTTTTTATTTTATTTTTATTTTCCCCTCGACTGCCATGCCATGCCCATGTTTCACTCATATTGTGACAACAAAATTCATGCTGAAATATTTTTGGACTGAAACTTGTTTTTCCTCATTTTTTTCCCCACCCCTTTGTTTTATTTTTTTTTAAGCGCGAATTTATTACAGCGCTTGGTCGACGCTGCGTCGCCGCGCCATAAATATTTTGTTTACAATATAATTTAATTTATGCAGATTTCTTGTCCGCTCTTTCAGCGGACACGTTTGTGTGCGCCCACAGCGGCGGTCAAAATAATATGTCCTTTCTTCAATTTTAAAAATGTTATCTCCACTAAATTTTTGACTCATTTGCTTATTAATACAACGCTGTTTTATAATCAAAACTATCTCCAAATATTCTCTACTTTACATTTTGATGATTTGAAAAGTATCTCTTTCAACATTATAATATAACATATAAATCTTTGTGCTCAAATTTTGACCGAAATTGTGTGTACATGCCGTACATGCATATCAAACTGATAGTTACATTTAATTTGGTCTGAAGTCAGTTTTTGAGTTAACTGCTTTAAAGGCCAACAAGTCGTTAGTTGCTCGTTAGCTGAGTGGCAGCCTTTTCGCCTGCTGCCTTCCTCGTTTTAGCCAGCATCTGCAAAAGTGCCAATGAAGCCCTATTACTTGGTAACCTGCGCCACGCCCACTCGCCTTGCTTCTCATTGATTTTTTTCCGTTCGATTTACGGGAGGTGCCGGTGGTTGTCGTGGTGAGGCCATCGATGGTGCCGATGTCTCTGAGGTCAAGCGCTAATGGAAAGCCCATTAAAATTTGCATTCGATTTTCTTATTGAGTTAATTAAAGGCCCATAAAAACGGCAGCCGTTTTCCGAATTTAATTGCCTCTCACTCTCACACAACCGCACTTGACACCTGTCTTCTGAAAGGGGAGCTTCTGATGAAATGACAGGGTAAGCCGTTCTCAAAGGTTCGGGGAATTTTATGTTTCTCAATGAATAGAGTTTCCTTGGGATTTATTTAGAGCGACGGTAATTTTATCTGTTGCAGGGGATTTGCATTTCATTCATAAGACTTTTAGTTATTGAACATTTTTAAAGATAAAGAAAGAGCAAGTCTATTAGAGAAAGCACCTTTTATTTGACCAACTAAATATATTATATATTTATAAAATACATAAAAATTAAAAATCACCCAAAAATGTAACCTTACTTAAATATTGCAATTTCCTCATCTGTCTTAAATACTTAAATTATGGTGAAATGTATGGTTACTTATTCAACAAAGTTCAAAATATAATTAAACTATGCCATTTACTAAACTTGGCTTAAAAAGGGCAAGAAAAACAAAAAATTTTCTAAAAAATAGGTACAAAATTTGTGGATTTTTAATTATGAAACCGTTGTGTTGTTGACAACGACGGGCCACAATCCACGACGACATCAAATCAACGTCGTCAAGTCAAAGTCATGTATTTTTCGCTGGCGATTGTCTTTGGCGATCGTGAGATCGGTTTGTGTGTCAAATGTGGAGCTTTGGACCCGAGTACCGAGAGACTGGCACATGTCTCCGGCTGCATTTGTGTATCAGTTTATTTATTCATGTTTGGTATCTATATTTTATTTTTTCTACCCACTATTCAGTATGTTTTTGTGTCACTTTTCTTTTGTTTTTCTTTTGTGCTTCGAGTGCAAAGTGGATGAACCTTGTTCCGTTTATTAAAGGCGTGCGTTTAATTCAATCAACTGCAATAAATGTACAGGCGTGCATAGATGTGTATATACTATATCAATAATAAGTTATCGCCAATGACTCTTAAATATTAATGGGAGTCCCTGCCCAAGTGCACGTTCACACGAGAGTTTCACCTTTAAAAGAATACCCTCAAAAAAGGTATTATAGAATTTTGAACTTGCATGAAATATGTAAATTTATCTTCAATTAAGCTATATTGGCAAGATCTCGTTTTGTCAAACATTCTTATATATTAAATCAAATATACGTGACTACTTGATTTCCTATTTGATATGCAACTTTGATATTTACTTGGTATAAATTTTCTAAATAAGATAAAAAACTATAATAAAACAATTGGATTGATACTTGTTATTTCCTGTTAAAAACAGTAGGGTACTTCCAAATCCATAATTATATTCAGTCGTCATAGATGGCAATCTTAAATAATCAATCTATTATCTGGGGATTTTGAGGATGTTTGTTCAATAAATCATGCCAAATATAACCGCAGATTAACGAGTGTAAAGATAATGGAGTGTTTAAACTTATTTTATAGGCGTGTTTCACCCTTAATTTATGATCCAATGTCTTAAACTTCAAAATCAAAGTCAGATATTTGCAAGAAAATCTATAGTTGAGTATTAGTCAGCGTCCGTCTTCAGTTTGTTTTTGTTTGGATAGCGCGGTATTTCAGTCAATCATAAACAAAATCGATTGTTAGCCGCAGCTGCGCTAATTTTATTTTCAATGGCTGCGTCAACATTCGATTCCAGATAAAACAGCGAGCCGAAAAATATGTCTTAAATCGCAAACAGCAGGCGAAAGGCTCGTGGCCAGATATTCTAAGAAAATGCCAACCGAATCAACTGTCAGACGGACAGACAACTGAGCTGCAATCTGGGTATCTCTAAACAAATATTATATTATTTACAGTGCGGTTCGCAACCATAACCAAATCAATAAAATTAAACAAAACGGTTATTTCGGTCATTTCTTTATCAAATATACCCCATAAATAACCATTTATTATATTTGACAGCTGATTCATTTTAATAGTTAACTCAAATCGAAATGTACAAATAATTTTGTCATCCAATGCGTATACGTAATTCGATTTTTAATAGAAGTTTTAAGTACATGGTAAACAATGACAAGGCCATTGACTTTTAATCAATGGAAAATGGTGTGATATTTTAAGCATATATGTACACGTTATTCATCAATTACCTATGTGTATATGCAATCTTATATTTGTCTCATTAATTCATATATGTAAGTTAAAGAATTTCTTGATTAATAATCCTAGGCGCGTACCTAATTTTGTGTATTCAACGGTATTCACATATTGGCACAAACTGTGTACGATACGCAAATATATGTATGATCTTTGATCACAGTATATCGTTCGTTGAACTGCATGCCATAAACCGATTTACAACGTTGAAACGCACTGCCCCTCAGAGGTATCTATCGCATATGGCGCAAATTTTATTATCTCTTTATATTCTCCGGGAGCTTCTTTAATGGCTGTGCGAATTCCAAAGCAATGATTAATTAACATTATGCCGAAGCCTTAATGAAAAACGCAAATACCATACATATGTACATACATATATGTATACGCAATTGAGGAGACACATCGGCATGGATATATGGACAAATGCGTGTGCGTATGTTTCAACAATCAATCCATGGCGATTAACAATTATCGTTGGAATGCGAAAATGTTGTTGCCTGATATTGAAATTGTGTTTCGCAAACAAACAAAAGGAAGACATTGTCATCGTCATCAGTTGGGGTTTTTGGTTTGGGCCATCTTTGCGCTTTTTGTTTTGTTTTCTTGCCGCACTATGCGAATATGGCCTCGATAAGATTAGACGCGAGCGGCATTTGGAGACAGCAAACAGAGCGCAGACATTCCGCCGCATGGCTGCGGTAAAGATTGGTATTTCTGCGACACTCTTAGCCGTCTTAGACATTTACCAACTTTTACCCAAAATGCACACAGGAAATGCCCGCTAATCTTATCGAATTCCAAGCACTAACTGGCGTGGGAACGGATTGAGATACATCTTTTAAATTTGGATATTAAATTTGTATTAGTGTATATTACTTCTTCTTCTTTTAGTGTACCTATACACACATTTATTACTGCAAGCAACTATCTTAACTAACTCATCCCCTTTTTATTTATCTTATTACAGCTACACAAAGCCACAGACATTCGAGGATTGCGTGGGCGATGAATTGCCCATGGGCTGGGAGGAATCGTATGATCCCAATATCGGACCATACTATATCAATCACCTGGCGCAGAGCACCCAGCTGGAGGATCCTCGCAAGGAGTGGAAAAGTGTCCAGGAGCAGATGCTGAGCGATTATCTGTCGGCGGCGCAGGATCAGTTGGAGAACAAGCGGGAAATGTTCGATGTCAAGCAGCAGCGACTTATTTGGGCCCAGGAGGAGTATAATCACCTCAAATTGGCAGCCAGTCGAAGCAGCCGTAAGTATCTGTTTTGGGCCAATATGATAGCACATCTCTGAAATCGATAAATAAATATTAGATTCATTAATATGAAATCTACGTATCAAACTAATTTTTCTACGCAATAAATAATGATCCTATAACTCTCTTCTATTAAATCAGATAAAGAACAAATATTTTTAAGAACTTATAATCTATCAAGATATAGTTTTTAATTAACCCGAATTTTTTACGACTACCAATTCTAGGTTTTCATTATCGTTTTTGCCTTTGCAAATTTTTATTGAGTATTAATCAATACATACAATCTTCCACCGAAAAGTAAACATTGTTATGAGGGGAATAGTTAAACAGAATTAAGTAGATTGATCTACATATTTACCTTGAAGTGTTATTATTCTGAAAGCTTTAGGTCGGTTAATATACAAACACAGTTAAATTAAAATGGCCTTTTTCCTTTCCAGTGTGCTCTTCGTCCAGTTCAATGAGCCGACACGATCCGGAACTGTTGCGAGCCGACTTAATGTTGGCGAGGGAGCGTGTCCACCAGTTGAAGCAGGAGCTGACCCACATAACCAATGATATATCCTACACGGAGCGCGGCATGAACACGCTGTATTCGGTGGGCGAGAAGATCAATGCCCGGGAGAATGGATGCTATGATATCGCTGAGGTCCAGGCGATTCGCGAGGAGATGCTCAAGGTGCACAAGTCGCTGGTTTCCGGCGAAAAGGTGCGCGAGGAGCTGATGCGCAGTCTGGTGCAGATCAAGAACGAGCTGAGCCGCCAGCAGATTAGCGAGGAGAGCTCGGACCTCGCCTCGCCCTTCGATCGTGTGTGCGTGGCCAGTCAAACTGATCTGTGCGGTTCATCGGGGGACAATCTGAACGGAGGAGCCCGATTCGCCGAGATGGCCAAGACCAAGTTGCAGTACGCCGAGTGGCGCAAGCACATCAAGAAGCTGCAGCAACAGCTGGCCGATCATGTGGAGCGCATTGAGCCCGGCCAACTGGAGTCGGACAAGGATCGCATCCTGCTCATACAGGAGAAGGAGAAGCTGCTGAACGATCTAAACAGCATTTCGCTGAAGTCCCGCAGCGAGGAGGAGAAGCGGGTGATCCAGCAGACCCGCCACAAACTGGAGGAGGACCTGAAAGAGGCCTACGAGGCCAACAACACGTGCGTGGCAAATCGGTTGCGCTTCCATGAGGAGAAGCAGCTGCTGCTGGACAAACTGCAGGAGGCCCTCAAGTCAACCAAGCTGCTGGAGGAGCGACTCAAGTCCTTCTCGTCGGAGAGCACCTTCTCCATCAGCAGCGGCAGTAGTCTGGGCTCCCTGTCCACGGCCAGCAGTAAGAGTGCCTTGAGTTTCACCGACATCTACATCGATCCCTTTGCGGTGGACTCACCCATCGATGTGGTGGATCTGAGGCGACGCTCACAGAGAATGTTCCAGCAGCACCAGCAGCAGCGACTGCATCCCGTTCATCCTGTCCTGCAGCAGCAGCCATCCTCGGAGGTAACGCTCTCGCCTAGAAGCAGCCTGTCCATGGAGACGCCGCCCGCCTCGCCGATGAAGTATAACCCCGGAGCGGATCAGGCACCGCAGGTCCTCAAAGAGGAGCCCACCTATGCGAACGCCTTACCCGCCCCTCCTGCCTACGCAGCCCCGCCCCCAGTTCCAATTTCTGGAGTGAGAGCACGACCCTACGATTTGGACTCCACTGTCCTCGATTGCATGATGCTGGAGGCCAAGCTGCAGAAGCTGAACATGGGAACTCCGCTCAACCTGGCTGCGGCTCCGCTATCTCCCATTTCTGAGAAGCCCTCGCTGCTGGATCTGCCGCAGGACATGCTCAGTCGGTCGTCCTCCACCTCCAATACGCGATCTGTTTCGGCGGCGGTCAGCAATGAATCCGTGGCCGGCGATTCCGGCGTCTTTGAGGCATCGCGAGCTCATCTGCCGCGAAAGGAACTGGCACAAGTCCAGATTGGCCTTAAGTATCTGAAACAGGAAGGAGTACTCGTCGTGTCCTTGGAACGGGCCAACAATCTGCTGTCCCTTTGGACTGCCTCGGCGGACAACTCACAGGTGTAAGTATAGAATAGATATTGCAATTTTATGTATACTCATAATCCATTTCTTGTCAGGTACCTGCGTGCTGCGTTGCTGCCGAATTCGCTAACTTCCATTAGGACCAAGGCGCTAGGTGATTTCCATAAGCCCGTTTTCAATGATACATTCGCAGTGCCCATTACGCTGGACAAGCTGCTAACCAAGAGCCTGCAGGTGACCGTGGTCACCATGACTGGACAAAAGGAGGAGATCATTGTAAGTATATCTCAAATAATGGATTTATTGATTTTGAAAAATAACTAACATGTATTTTTGTTCTAGGGCACTGTGCAAATCAGCATGGCCGAGTTCAACCCAGAAGATTCCACCCTCAAGTGGTACAACGTGCTCAGCTCGAAGTTCATTCCCAGCTTTGAATCCCTGGACATTCCCTCCACCAGCGCCGCAGCAGCGGCAGCCGTCGTTGCTGCCAACAATGCAACGCCCAGTGGCAACAACCGGGAGGAGTCTTCAGACGAGTCCACCATTACCTCCTCCCAGACATCCACACTCACAAGAAACCAAGCACCTTGCATGGAGCTGCAGGAGCAGATTGCCGCCGAGTTGCTGGAATTGGGTCCACTCAATGAGCCGGAGTGCAGCGACGACGATGATGATGAGGAAGAGGACGAGTCGGATGACAAGCAGCTCATCAACGATGTTGGCGTGATGAACTGTAAGTTAAGCAGACTTCAATATTATTTAAATACTTATTTTATTTTAATCAACAGCAAGTGGAATGTTGGACGCCTATCTGGAGAACATGAAGCAGGAGTTTGCCGACAAGGAGACGAACACTGATCGCGCCTTCCTGCCGGAGAAATCCCGTGGCCAATCCCAGTTAATGGACGACAGGCCCGTGAAACGATCCCAGACCTTCACTCCATCCGCGGCCGTCAGCAAGAACCGCTACAACTGCCGTCTAAACCGTAGTGACTCTGACTCCGCGATGCACTGCGGCGTTGCGCCCCACACTTTCCAGCGCGGCGCCGCCGAGCGACGATCCCTGCGCTTCCATACTAAGGCGCCCAAGTCAGTCACAAGTAAGAAACAAATATAACAATATGAAGTCTAAAAATTCACAATATTAAAAGAAGTTTTATAGTTCTTAAATAAGACCGCTTATACAGTTTAATTTTCATTTGATTTCTATCTTTTTGTTTATAAAACAAAAATCGTGTTTTAAAAGCCCTATCGGAGAATTTAAAATATAATATAATCTATATTTTGCATCATTTGAATAACAAATTTTATAATTTCTACTTGATTTTTTCCAGAACTTCACCATACTCACATACCCCGCACCAGTTTGGACTTGGAGCTGGATCTGCAGGCACAACACAGCAAGCTGTATTTCCTCAATGATCAAATCGCCAAGTTGCAGAACCTCAAGGAAGTGTAAGTTAATAATAATACCCTCTACAAAGAACCCGAATTAATTCGTTACATTTGTATTTAACAGTTTGCAAAAGGCCTGCGAAAACAAGGATCCGCTAGTGGCCGCCTGGGCCATTGAGAACGAGGAGTTCCAGCGACTAGTGGCTCGTGCCGATCCTGCCAAATGCCCCGAGGAGCGCCAGCTACAGAAGCTTCTGATGAAAACCGCCAAAGAGATCCACAAGTTGCGGAAGACCAAGGTGCCCAAGGGCTGCCCCGATCTGGTGTCGTTCAAGTAAGTCATTTTTTGATAGAACTTATTGAGTAGCGGTATTAAATGTTTATGTTTACAGAGAGAAGATCACTTTCTTCACACGCAAGGGACTGTCGGTGCCCGAGCTGCCCAGTGAATTTACCTTGTCGGAGGCCAATCCCATCGAAGAGGAGGAGGAGGAGGAAGAAGAGGACGAGGATGAGTTCTACAATTCACCTGAGACGGCAATCGCCATCAATACGGCGCTGGTGGCCAGCAGCAACAGAAACAAGAATCTCAGTGAGCACCACCACAGAGCCGCCAGCGGGGCAGTGCCCAAGATAACAGCACCAGTGGCCACTCCTGCAGTTACTCCAGCTGCCAACCCTGTTGCTACATCCGCTGCCAATTCCGATGCAAAGCCAGCGGATGCTCCTGTTTCACTTGCATCTGCCGATGAAGAGCAACAGCGCTTCGACTACGTTGTGGATCGCAACTATGGCGTGGAGGTGTAGCCCCTTCCTTAACTCCCCGTCTTCGCTGTACATTTTTGTAATTAATTTAGTATTTATTTCCACTAAGCGAAAAGTATTTATGTGTATAAACAACTGATGTAACAAATATCTGTGCCTTATAGAGAACGTGAGAAGAACGACAAGAACCATGCTAGAAATGATATATCTACGCATAGCTATGCACTAGACCTAAGCCCTATACTGTAATTAGATTAGCCAAGTAACTTAGCCCTAACTACACCCATAGTCAGTTGTACAAATTGACCCCCACTGATGACCATATAAGAGCAACTAAGATTTACAAACCACCAACCCGCCCCATTACTATTTGCCCTGCCCCGCCCCAAACACACAAAACAAAAAACAAGGAAAATCAAACAATAACGCGCACATTGTGCGTTCAATGCCTTCAAATTCATATTGAAACCAACTGTAATCTTAAGACTTGAGCAAAATTATACGAATGTTTATGAATATTTTTATACGCATCTAGGAATAGTTATACCGCTTTGATTACCCCAAGCCACATATACACAAAACGTAAAGAGAACGTGAAATATTTATTATATTGATGGATCGATCGATGTAGCGCTCGAATCCAATCGGTTAGGTTAGTTAGCTTGCGTTTTTGTTAAGCTCAAAACGAATTCTTATATTGTAATTTTTTTTATAAAAAAAATCCTATGCAAAAAAAACAAACCACACAAAAAAAGTGAATGTACCATATTAGATAATCGTCACTATGTTAACTATAAGAGCGCCCCTAACCCCCCGACATTGCCACCATTGAAAAGCGCAAACAAAAAATGAAAAAGAAATATGAAATGAAACCTTGTTATGCTTTCCCAAGCGAACCTGTTAAAACTGTTGACTTTGAAACTTTGCCGTGGCGCACTAAGTTCGTATGAAATAAAATGAAATTACCCACAGCTCTAGTTTAGTTTAGGTTTTGCACGTGTGGTTTCCAGACTCTGTGCAAACTTAGCTGTTGTTTATGTTTTCACTAACCAGACCCACACGATCCCATACCCAGCCCTTCCCCACCCCAAAATCTAGCGAGTAGCACGGATAAACTGAATGAGAGTCCCCACACATATTTTTTCTATACCATAGTAATTTTAGTTGTAATAAATTATATGAAAGTGAACCTGTATATTGTAATTGTGCAATAAACAAACAAAAAAATACTGACATAACTGAAATAATTGTGTTTTTATATTGCCGTGAAATTGATAAAGTTGAAGAAAAACAAGAAAGGAAAGCTAACTTCGGGCGGAGCCGAAGTTGATATACCCTTGCAGAATACTCTGTAAATTATATTCTTCAAAATTATTTATATGATGCATTCTTAATACTCATAAAAAATCCCAACTTCCTAACTTTAAAAACACCAAAGTTATAGCATTTCCAATTGTTCAGTTATATGGCAGCTATAAGATATAGTCGGCCGATCCTTATAAACTTTGGTAGGTCGGATTGATTGGCCAAAAATAAAACCCATAGAAAATCCCAACTTCCTAACTTAACAAACACCAAAGTTATGGCATTTCAGATCAATCAGTTATATGGCGGCTATAGGATATAGTCGGCCGATCCTTATGAAATTTGGTAGGTCGGATTGATTGGCCAAATATAAAACCGATAGAAAATCCCAACTTCCTAGCTTTACAAACACCAAACACCAGTTATGGCATTTCCGATCAATCAGTTATATGGCAGCTATAAGATATAGTCGGCCGATCCTTATGAAATTTGGTAGGTCGGATTGATTGGTCAAATATAAAACCCATAGAAAATTCCAACTTCCTAACTTTACAAACACCAAAGTTATGGCATTTCCGATCAATCAGTTATATGGCAGCTATAGGATATAGTCGGCCGATCCCGGCCGTTCCGACATATATACTGCGTGCAAAGGAAAGAAGGCTGTGTGCAAAGTTTCAACTCGATAGCTTTAAAACTGAGAGACTAGCTTGCGTAGAAACAGACAGACGGACAGACGGACATGGCTATATCAACTCAGGAGGTGATCCTGATCACTGCGTTGCACACTTTTGACCAAAATTATAATACCCTCTGCAAGGGTATAAAAACAACTTATGTCAAATATTTTAATATATGACTGAAAAATTCTTTTAAATGTAAATGAATACATACATTATATTTTATTTTAAAAACTAATTCCCATATCTGTAGTTTTTTATACAACATTTTTTTACAGATTTTGTTGTCGTACTTTCTGCTATAAAATCATTTTAAAAACTAACTAAATAAAAATTGCACCTGGCCATGTGGAAAAAAGATTTCAAAATAATTAAAAACAAAAATTACATATTAAGAACATTGGGATCACTTTTTATTAAACTCTGACGAAAAAGATAATTTACTTTTCACTAAGCGCTCAAGTAATGTAACTCAGTGTTATCAACACCTTTCCAAAAATCTACACATAACAAATATGTATCAAATAAAGCAAGGAACCTTTCATATTAAAAAGTAAAGAACAATAATGTGAATGAAGTCCATGCACATTATTTTCAAATTTCTTTTGATTTTTAACATCTTTTTTAATCGGTTTCATAATATTTAAAATAAGTAAAACCCATATTTTTGTCGGTACATTATCTTGTACTTCGATAACTATTTTTTTAAATTACGCGGCGTCGTGTCCCCGATAACGATAAATTACGTTACTTTCGACCATCCCTAATCTAGCACATGTGTTGTTGTTTGTTCTCGTAGCGAATTTGACATAAATTTAATATAATATAAATTAAATTAAATTAAAATGGAGGAAGTCCTTGGGGTACTGGAGCTGGAGAACATGCAGTGTGAAGTGTGTGGGGAGAAGACCTTCCAGGAGCGGGAGGGCTACTACTACTGCGTGGAGTGCGGCATGCAGAAGGACCAGATTCGGGCTGTGGACCTCACCGCCGACGAGAACTTCAATGAAACCGCTCCCGGGAAATACGCCTCCAGGACAATCCGCCAGCCAAAGAAGGATGCGCCCAAGGAGAAGGACAATGACATCACCTCGTGGGAGTTCTACAACTACGTCCTACGCGGCTTCCTGCAGGAGCTGCTCAACATGGGCGCCAAGCCGGAGCTCAAGCTGATGACCCTGCAGGTGTGGGCGGCCTACATGAGCCGCATGGAAGTGGCCTTTTTCCGAAACAACGAGATGGGCCTTCCCAAGCTAAATGTTAGAGCACTCCACAGGTGAGTCCAATAAATTTCCTACCTAAATCACAGAATTTACTAACTCCTTGTACATATGTAGGATTATAATTTTTTTTTTAAATATCAAAAGTTCTTTAGAACTGTGGAAAAAATATAATAATAACTTTTATGTTCAAATAAATATTTTATCAAATAATATTCCCATCTAAATAGCTCTTTGATCTATTCTTTAGCTAAATCTAAAGGAATCTTCTTCTTGCAGAGATGCCCGCATCCTCTACAACCGCAAACGATTAAAGGTCAAGAGGGGCAAAAGGACCAGGGCATCAGGAGATGCAAACGACGATCGCGCCAAGTTCAGGCTCTGGAACAAAACTAAGGTACTTAAATGCTCAATTATTTGTTTTTATTAACCTATGGTACATAAAATGTACTGGGGAACAGCAAGGGCAACAGCAACAAAAGAGTACGTGGCTTAGTATCATCACTTGGTCCCTCAGAAGGCTCTTCCACTGGTGAAAATTATGTTATTTAGGAAAGAAAATAAGCTAATTAGTATTTTGTAATATTGTTTTAAGGGTTCAGAATAACATTTTACACATAATTATTGGTAATTATTATAAGAATCTTTGAACTTCCGGTTTTGTAATATATTTTATGAAATAAGACTTACTCTCAATGATTTCTGGAGCTCCTGGAGCAGGCTGAGCGTAAGCCATTGCTAAGATGGCCAAGCAAAACAGAACCAGACGCAGAGACATATTTGTGACAAGTCAAGCTGCTGAACTGCCATCCAGTTGGCCAGGTTCCTCTTATATAGCTAACAATTGCATAAATTACATAATTACCCCTTTCATTAGTGGGCTTCAATCACTCTTATCTTAGTAGTGACTTGTTACCATTTGTTTTTTCCAGCGCGACCTCGACGCTTCGCGCTTCACCAAAATGGGTGTTCCTTCGGAGTCCGAAGGAGAGCACAGTCTCCGCCTGCAGTGGTCCCTACACGCCCGAAGGACTCTGAAGCGACACATGCCGCTGAAGCACCTGGACAAGCACAGCCAGGACAGCAAGAGCAGCATGGGGTGCCACGACTTGAGACCGATGGTCAAAACACTCAAGCACTTTGACCGCAACATGTTCTGCTTGAACCTCACCAAGTTGTACGTTGTGCTCGGCATAGCCCTGAACATGGTGGAGGATGATATACAGCTAACGGACTTGCTGCGGTTCATCGATGAGGAGCACCTGACCAAAAGATATTTGCTCAACTATCTGCCCGAAAATGTGGCCGCGAAGGGCAAGGCGCTGTTTAAGGAGATGGAGTTCGGCAACCACAGGGACAAGTGCACCTATAAGGTGCGTACCCAATTTTTCGAATAGTCGAACTTCCTTAGCCACAACCAGCATCTTATGGAAGTTTTTTAAGCTTTATAAATATTTATTATATATTGTTTTTTAACACCTTATCTACATTTCAGGCCCTGCGTCTAAACATCGGTTATATGTCGGGATATATAAACCTGAGCGAATTCCAGAAACCGAATCTGCACTCCCTGGCCGAGCGATATATCCTGGAGTTGGGCCTGCCTCCTCGCCTGGTCAAGTACGTTGGTAGCCTGATCGATTTGTATCCGCCATCGTTCTTCAACGCCATGGGCCCACACATGTATCCGCGTTTTGAGGCCAGAACGATGGCCTACATCCTTTACGCCATGAAGCTGCTCTTCGGGTTGGACGATGTTAAGGAGCAACTGATATCCGAATCGGCTGCTAAGATCAACGAACATCTGGTGGAAGCCGGCGGAGATGAAGCTCCCTTGCTCTTTGTTTTCACGGAGTGGATGCAGTTCGTGGAAATACGGAAAGTGATAGTCTCACATTACAACCAGAGTTTTGCTAATCGCTTTGGAGTTGCCACACAAATCGGAAGGCAGGTGGATGACATCCTGGCCAAGGAGCGAAAAGAGAAGGAGCAAGGATATAACTATGATGAGATGCAGGGTACGCCAGCAATGCAGCGTCAGCATGAAAACCTGACCCACATAATTGAAACTATGTTAAAGGAGCACTTCGGCGAGTCCAGCCAAAAAAGTGCGGATAAAGATCACATTGAATTCCAGCCCAGCTTGACGCCCGCTCACTCCTACTTTCAAAGAATTTTACTTTATGCTTCTCAATCGGATGGTGCGCATATGAGCTTAAGGATTCCAGACTGCATGCACGTGAATCATGCGCAGCGAGACCTGGATCCCTTTGTTATGGAGACGGAAAAACTATCACACTACTTATCCCAACTAAGTCTTAATCTGCGAGTGGAAGAAGTCGCCTGCCAGGAGGACATACAGGAAGTGGGCATATACCGCCCGCTGCAGCACATTCGAAGTGACAAGCGGGAATTCCGGGCCAACACTGACATTAAAACCGAAACGTGGCTCGGAGAGCTGAAGAGGAAGGAGAAACGGCCGGACTTTAAATTCTTTCAGCCCACTGGAACCTATGGAGCACGGTATTTGAACAGTTTAACGAAGCATTATAAGAAGCGTGAAGGACTGGAGGCAAATAATCCTTATTGGGAAATTACCAAGACACCCAGTTACATGCTCAAAGTGAACGATAAGGAGGTACTACTCGACACCTTAAGCTCGCTGCAAACCTTCGAGGAGGGGAGCATGGACCCGTTAAAGGTACCACTAGACTTACCCCGTCGTCATCTAGAACGAAGTCAGATTTCCGAAGAGGCAGAGAAGAATAAAGAAGATAAAAGGACAGAGGACACAAGCGAAGGGCCGCGAAGCTCTGATGAACTCTTGCTGCGTGTCTCCAACTTTGATTGCTGGCTTCTGCACGGCTATAATAGCCACATTAGGGAATCGGACAAGAGAGAGTTGCGTCAGTTCTTTCCCTGTTCCTTTCGCTGGCTCCTGGAGACCTGTGCTGCAACCATTGGCGTTAGCTGGGATGTGCTCTACGAGCAACTGCTCATCCTGGAGGTGATGTTCCATCACAGCATCGGGGACTGGAGCAACCATAGGGAACTCCTATGCATCCAGCACAAAAATCAGAGGAAAGACATCCGAACGCTAGCCAGGACATACAAGGAATTTTGGTAGAAGGGGGTTGTTTATGAGCGCTTTAAGACTTAAAACATAAGACCATCTCAAATACGGCAAATAAAGTTAACTGGATAAAAGCGTAAAAGGCTTAAGAGATTTTTTAGCCACTTAGCAAAATAATATGATAAGGGTCGATCATTTACCTTAGAAACATTGGTGCTGTTTCCTAACTCAACAGAAAACTCAAAATTTGATTCAAACTAGATCAAATAAAAATCTTAATTTCAATATCTCTATGATAGTATGTATTATTTGTATTATTATTATTATTAATATATTATATTATATTATTATTTCTTTTCACATTTAACTTGTTTATGCACCTGTAACAAATATGTAGCTCTGATCAAACAATAATAGAATTCAAAATCACCACATCCAAAGAAGGCAGATCACAACGCAATGGTCTTATTATATCGTCATATAAATGAAACTGTTATTAAAGCAGATTATGCGAACAACTAGAAACCATGAAATATAATAGATCAAATACTCATTTAAGGTACAATATCATTAGCGTCCTTTATTTCAAAGAACTTTTATTTAAAATCAATTTATTCACCGACAAAATGGTTTAATTCCCATAACTATTAAGTTAAATGTATATATATTCTATCCATTGCTGATCAGCTTCATAAGGGGAATCGATTCGGACATGTGTACATATGCTCATCTGTCTGTTTCGAAACCATCTGTCTAAACTCCTTTACATAATGGAATTCTTTCAATGATAATTTCCCAAGACTTGGTGAGTTTGGAAAACAAACATATTATATTAACTTATTATCTTAACATATTATATTAGTATATTATATTTTAAAAATAATTAAATAAGACGATGCAGATTTGGCAGTGAGATTGAAATATTACCTTATAGGGTATTTAGATTTAGATATTTGTTTTTTTTTAACCGGTTTTAAAAAGCATACAAAAAAGAAATTACCTAACTTTATAATTTACTACGGACGATTACCCTAGTAACAATGCTATTTTCTTGGCTATAACTGTCTGTGAGAAGTCACATTAACATCAATATCAATAGGCAAATTAGCGTTTATCAGAACAACAACAATCACATTAGCAGCAACAATGCGTGTCGCGGTTTTGTTTACAAAAATCTTCTTCAAAAGAGAGCGCCGGCCCCACGGTCATCGCCAGCGAGAGAGTCGAGAGAAGAGCGAGAGAGCAGTTGGGGAAACAGTGTAACCTATTTAGCTCATTTACCGACAGTTTTTTTTTATATATAATGTTTATATTATACTTGCCTCGCCCTTATAGTAAGCTAACATAACGTTTTCATTTCTTTAGTTTAAAACCAACATGAATCTAACTATAAAGAACTTATATTTATACAAAAATTATATTTGTACAATTCTTATTTAACAATTCATACTCAACTAATTATAAAATAAAACAAAGCGCCAAAATGTGTATAAGCTTTAAACATTTTTAAACAACAAACGAATCTACAAAAATGTTTAAATTCTCTTTAAAAATAATTTGGAGCAGTTTGCAACCAAAATTGTTTGAATGTTTGCAAGAATTGTTAACTACAATTTTGATCATATGCTATTTTAAAAGTACGTTTATCTTTTACTATACCCCATCTGGCTATATTGATTTCAAAAAGGCGTCATCTCTGTTGGGGAGCATTGAGAGTGGGCAAAGAAATCATAGGCGCGCATTCGCACGGCGCGTTTCAGTGCTAATTTTAACGTCGCCGCGTTGACTGTTTCGCCTTATTGCGGTTTCCTTATTTTTCACTTTTCCACTTGCAGCGAGCATTGAATTCAATTTAAATTAGTTTACATTGTGCCTTTGTACGTCTTTTGCCCGTCCAGTGTGATAACAACAAACAAAAGCCAACCAAAGTGCCGAAGAAGTGCAGTAAAATCGGATGTGCAGACAGGAATTTTAACCGTTGCAACTTGTGTAGAAAAAAAACGATCTTAAAGCGAGCACATAAAAATAAAAGTAAAAAAAAATCAGAATCCGAATTTAAAAATAGACCAATGCACGGCAAATTATGAGATATCTAAAGACGGTCAATTAAAATAGTATTTCGTGTTGGCTGTGATTTTTTTCAGATTGCTGCTGCTCCTAGTTGATTTTGCTGGTGAGTTGAATTTCGGTGTTTGAAAAACTTTTATTAATATGCGCGCGTGTGGTTTCCATTCAAATGCTACGGATATGGCAAGACAGCTGTTTCAATATCGCCGAAAATAATGCTGAAAATGTTAAGAGTTTAGCTGGCCTGTTACGTCAACCTTTTGCGGGGGTTTCGACGACTGTCTGCCATCCGATTCTCCAGTTTCTCTAGCCTAACCCCCCGATCTGAGCGCCTTTGGGGGGTTCCAAGTCTCACTTGTTGACGTTCTTGGCGGTTTTTGAGGTTAACAACATTTTCAGGCCGCTTTGTTTCGCTCTGAGCCAAACAATAAACAACTATTGACTCGCACTGGCCATGTTTAGCGAGCCGACTTACAAACAATTAATAGCTACTATTTTGTCACTTGCTGACTTTTATGCCAAAATATTTGCCTAAGCTGTTCGCATTAGCAAATCGAACAAATTGCTAAAAAGCCAAAAAAACAACATAGCACGCGCATTTATCTTGATTCCAATTCCATGTGACTATGTCATTATTTGTGGGCTTATAATTTGTTTTTCCAACTGGAGTCCGTCACCTCCTACTTGGTCCTGTATTTCGTAGATTCAATATATATACAGTGGAACCTCGATATTTTGGGGAGTGTAGATCATAACTTGGAAAGTAAATACGATGGCTTTATATAAAATATAATTTTACATAAAAAGTGTATATGTTAAATCCGTAAGCTACAAATTTGTATATAAAATTCTCTTTGTATTTTTGAAAAAAATTTAACAAAAATATCTTGCTACCATTTCTAATATAATGTTTGAATTAAACCAAAAAATTGTATTCCAAATAATAAATAAATTGAAAAGTCAAATTAGCTTTTTTTGCTTTTATTCTCCTCCTTTCGATGGCATTGTAAAATAAATATGACCCAAAATATGTAATAATTTTAATGACTGTTGAAAAGCCATCACTTTATATTGCACTTAGAATTTCAGAAATATTTGTTTTTTGGTAGAACGCCCACTGTATGGAGGAATATGAGAATGGTGTTTGTCAAATGCTAATTAGTTTCATTATATCTGGCAGCCACGAGTGGAGCGGGAAATCAGAGGGGCCGTGAAGTATATTAATTGGATGAGCCAAAACACTTTGATAAGCACAATATTACTTGTCATAGATCTAACCGGACATATGGTAGCAATCACGTCCGCCCGTCGAATTGTTTATCAATCCACCCTCCCCAAAAAAAAGAAAGAAAAATAAAAAAAAACAAATCCTGCGTGCCGCCAATGGATGTCAAACTGAAAAGACACTTTGATGGACACATTATAGACAGTTTGGTAAACGGGAGCGTATGAAATGCTAAATATAAACAATACAAGGTATAAATACACCCACCCCCAGTTTTCCACCCCCACCATTAAAGGCAAATTAGGACCAGAAAGGTTGACAGATCCAAAAATAAGCAAAGCCAAAGATTTGGCAGGCATATTGCGTCTACCTGGTTGGACTTTGGATGATGAGCGTGCTGGGAACTCGGACGGGGGATGAGGAATGGGGTCCGAATGGGTCTCGTGTGGCACGTGTGCAGGTGACTCAAAAATTTTAGGTTCTGTAAATCTGTAAATAAAGCCCAAGTCAGTTGCTTATTAATAAGTTATTATTTAACTGAAGCTAGGAATATAACTAAAATCTTGTGTATATCATGGTGATTTTTTGCAATATTCAAGAATTTATTACATGCTTACCTCCATTAAAAACATTTCACCTTCCTTTGCTTTGAACAATGCTAACATATATTATTCTACAAATTTAAAAAAATCCGTTTATTTGTCTAATTTCATTTTTGAATTCCTTTTCCCGCTTCCGCTGCCTGTGTTTGTCATTTCCCGAACAACAGAATGAACAACTAAATCTCGGCGTGATTATTTTCTTGAAAAACGCGCTATTTGTTTGTTATTGTTTTGGTTTTGTTGCTGTTGCTGTTGCTGTGGCGATTCGGGGAAAAGAAAAGCTGGCGCTTGTATCTGCACCCATTCACATGCCACATACTTTTAATAGACCTTTCATTTCATTTGTTTATTTTTGTACCTCTAGTGTTCTGCTAGTTTGTTATTAAGCTTCAGTGACACCTCTGTGAGGACAGTATAAATGGGTTAAAATAAATTAGTTTACTTTCCTAATCGGGCCATTTAATTATACATTATAATTATACAACCATATAAGTAGTAGATTAAATATTGAGAAGTGTTTTTTGTTTTACAAAAATAAGTTTTTTTTTATTCTCTAAAAAAGTAATATTCTAAGTTTTAATGCAATATTTGATAAATATTAATAGGGCGTATACTTAATAATTCAAAAAATACTTCCAATTTTACGTATACTTAATATTTTGTTTTAAATGTTTCAAATATAATTTTTTTTTGTGGTAATCACTGTATTTCCCAGACTGAAGAAATGGAATGATTTTTAATATGCGATTGGCTAGCGCACTCACGTTTCTACGGAGACGCGAGACATTGAAGACGCAGCCCATTAATTGGATTACAATTCTCCGCATTTTCCCTATGCGGTTTTCTTTTTATTTGTTGTTCCGCACGTTGTCTTCTGCTTCTTTCTTCTTGGCCATTAGTCATGCATATGTTGCGGCTCTTCAACTTGTTGCGTATACCCGATTTTGCATATGCCCCACCTCGCCCGCCCCCCTATATAGCATATATATCTACATATATCCCTCCTTTAATGAACGTGGCGGAATTTTGCCTTCATATTGTAACTGTATATCCGTATTGCGAAAATGTGTGAAATAAATCGTACACATGACATATGTACATATAAACATGACATATAAACAAACGAGTCCAAAATAATATGAGCCATATTTTGGGCATTTTGAAAGAGCCAAAAAAAGTTATTTCTCATAAAGATAAAGTAAATTAAACAAATTTAAAATCACCCTTTAAATGACATTTTATAGAAGTAACAATGTATAATTATTAATAACTTAACTTGAAGATGAATTTTTTGATTTTTATTCAGCAATACCAATAGAAAAAACAGTTTTCTAAATAAATAGTTCAGAAACAAAAACAAATATTTTCTAAATAACATTTCTGCAGTTTATTTTAAATACCTGTGGGCTTGCTTTACTTCTGTTTATTTCATAAATTTAATGATTTTTCAACTGTTTGTTAGACTCTCTCTTTTGTAAATATTTTTGTGAATGCTTGAAATTACGTTATCTGTTTTTTTTTTGTGTATCGCAAAAAGAGGCACAACTATTAATGTGACCACAACAATTTTAATGTACACATGTCCACGAAAACCCACATTAAATATGTTTTTGTCTTTTACAATGTTTTTGTGTACTGCTGAAATTTTCCACTCTGACGTTTTCGCGCTGCCTTCAGAGTTCAAAATCAAATATTTGAGCTGGAGATTAGCGAAATTGCCTTTTTGTGTAATTGTTAATTGGAACGCCAGCCAGACTCTTTGCATTTAGCTATATATCAGCCCCGAAAAAATACGAAAAACTCAGAATTTTATTTCGACTGCTGACGGAGAGAAATAAATTAAATAGAGACCAATAAAAAAGGCGCTACAGATCAAGACGAGGCCAAAAACGGCGGACACACCTCTTGACTAGCCAAAAAAAAACATTAAATTTATTAAACACGCAGGCGGCGGAATTTAATTCAAACCGAAAGCAGATGTTTTGTTCTGTTTTGCACGCAGGCGTAATTTCTAAAGTAAACAAACGACAGGAGACGATTCATTTGCACAACCCATTTGTTTGGCAAAAGGTGAGATGCAGAGAGGGGTGTGCGACAGGTGTTAATTGCCCGACAAATTCAAAAACACGCAGCCCGCTCATGCGATGAAGTCGGAGACTCTTGCAAACATGCATTATACAACCGGTGTGTGCAGCCGAGTCGCTAATAGATTCGACCGTTCAATTTGCTTGCAGATCGCCGGATCAGGCTTAGGCCGGGCCCAACCACTAAATCTCCACCTAATCCGCGATGGGTCGCTGGGGCCGGCAGAGTCCGGTGCTGGAGCCGCCGGACCCGCAGCTGCAGAACACGCCTCCACCGCCCACACTACCGCCGCGCACCTTCATGCGGCAGTCGAGCATTACCAAGATCGGGAACATGCTCAACACGGCAATCAACATCAACGGGGCCAAAAAGCCAACAAGTAAGTGTTAGCCATCTTATTTTCCCATAAGTTTTAAGAGTTTCCCCCTTACACATCATTTTAAAAAATGGTTATGGTTAGGTGGTAAATTAATTCTATTTTTGAATATTATGGGGCATCTTCTTTATTATACCTCATTACCAGGGGAGTACCCATTTTATGACTTTTTAATAATTTTAAAGAATCTTCCCTATTCAGATATGCTCTCAAGTTTTAAAAAGGCCAGGGTCATATGACAAACTTAGTGGTATTAAAAAAAAACAACAATACTTTTATGGTTTTTAAGCTCTTTTATTATAAAAATTTACCTATCGAGTTAAAAAAGGGTGGGTATTTAAAATGCATGTTTAATTGAATATTTAACACTAAGTTAAAACAGATCTTCTGATGGGGCTTTCATTTTATAAACAAAAATAAGTAGCCTTTTCCAACCAATTTTGTTCAAACATATTGTTATTTATACAACGTTTATGGTAATAAAAGTTGAGGATTTGCTAGTCAATACTGTTTCTAAATTTTCAAATTTCCCGCCAAAACCACGTTAACATTAACATTTGCGCCAACAGCGCTCTGTTATCCCCGTTCACTACTCAATACTGCTTGGTCGTAGTGAACAACACTGGCCAAATGCAACGCCGTTCGTACAGCGGCAATTCGGTAGCTTGGAACTCTTATTGTAAAGTGCGAAATTTGCAACAAAATTTGTACTTCCATTTTGCATTGGATTTATCGCAATCCGTTAGTCACTAACTAAGATAAAACAGAGTGCGGAGCGTGCGGGAATCAGTCGGCAGCAGTGTAAATAGTCCTAAAGTGCGTGCGAAAGCGAAAAACAACGCGGAATGCCGCTTGTGCAAAAGCCACACTCACTAGCATTCATATTAATATTACGACGCAACGACGAAGCAGTGCAGCAAAAGAGGCGGCAAAAACGGGAAGAAGAGGCAGCTCGCAGAATGTTAATGGGAAACAGAATCAGAAAACAGAAGCTTTTTAACTTTTTGGCAATACTTGATTTTCATTGCAAATATTAGGTGGAAAAAGGATTTGAAACTGGAGTAGCTTGATATTTTATCCTTTTCTGATCACGCGGTTATTTTTGCAGTCGTAAAATAATCAGGCATCGCAATTATTTAGTGTTCCCATTTTGAAGGTTAGATTTCGCATATATTTTTTGCTCGGAATTCGCGATAAAACAAAGAGACAAAGCAAGCGCCGCAAACGAGTATGTCTGTTTATGTGTGTGTTTCGTATTTGTTTGGTAAAATGCAATAAATAATAATAATTGTGGATTAACGACTGGCAAATAAAGCGTTTTATCGGTGTGAAGTAATTTTTTGTGTTCGCTCACAACCACCGGCTGCACTCGCCCTCTCTCTTTTGCTCGCACACACACACATGTAAAAAAACGCACGCCAAAATTCTGCTGCGCTGCCGACGTCGTTGTAAAAAAAATTATAATTTCCCCTACTTTTGCAGTTCTTTCTTCCCCTATACGTGCTTAAGTCGTGCTGACAAAAAATAATTAACAAAGGAATCAAATGCATATATTAGATATACAACAACAAAAAACCAAAGTGTAATCAAAGGAATAAGTGAAAAACGAGAGAATATAAAAATCCCGCTCCACTTTGAAACTCCAAATTGGCAGCAACAACAACACCTCCCTTGTGAGAAAGAGACGGAGCTAGAGAGCGCGAGCGCAGCTCCTTTGGCCTTCTCCTTTTGTTCTTGTTATTTTTGTTGTTTTAGTGTAGTTGTTGTTGTTGTTGCTGCGGCTGCTTTCGACGCAAACTGTTCAACTGTCATGGCCGGTAAGTTTAATTCTCTCCTCTTCTCCTTCTTGCTGCTCTCCTTCTATCCTCCTTTTCCTCTTCTCTACGTTCGTTCGTCACTCGCTTTTTGTGTGGGAACTGCCAACTTTATTTTTATACCCTGGAATAAAGTATTATAAGTTTTGTTAGACTTTTGTTACATTTATAATGATATCTTTGCGGTCACCCAAATGTGTAATCTTGATTGGCATCTTTGGTAAAATCCCGGGGAATCACTTAGTCGTTGTTTTTCTTATTTATTTTAATTTTATTAAAATATATGGTAATTTATAATCCTATTTGAAGGATCTTTATCATTATTATAGAAAGATATCTTAAAACATTCATTCGAATGACCTACAAAGCTTTTGTTGACGTAATGGTATTCACATGGCCAAATTTGGAAAAACTGCAAGGGTCTTTGGCATTTCCTCGAGCTATTTTCGCCTTTTTCAACATTTTAATGTTGGCATTAAAATCGCCCAAACAGCCGATAAACAAATTCACAGAGAAGTAAACAAACTAGTCAAAAGACTCGAATGCGTTAATCGAAAAACAACTTTTCCCTATCAACTAGCATTGATCTTTGCACTTGAACGAAAAGCCGCTGGCGACGTGAGCGGCATGCAAAAATTACCAGGCCCCCGCCCGCCCCTGATACATTTTTTTTAAACGAATGACCGCCCCCGCCGTTCAACTGCATTATCTATTTTGAAGACCCAGATGGAAGTAAAACCACTCGTAAACGTAAAGCATGATTCGTTACGAAAACAGTGTACAAACGATAAGAGGGTATATTTAAACGAAAAGTGCTTAGTTTACAAACAGTAAAATGTTGGAATGTTATGTTGAATCTTGTTTGGAGATCTCGAAGTTGCCAATGAATGTTAAACATGTCCTTATTTTATAACTATGTTTGGGCTCACAAACAAAAACAGCAAATAGCTCTGATTTGTTCTAAACAGATGTTTTAAAAATAAACTGCTGCATTTTAATATATGTTGTTTATGGCTTTTAAAAGGATACTTATTTTAAATCATTGGTATATATTTTTATTTTAAAGTATGAATTGAATTATTGAATTAATTTTTTGGGCATAAACCGGTTTTTCTCTATATAATTATTCGAAGCAAGGACTTTCTACAAGAGTATAAAATTGATTTCGTGTACATGCTCGAAACAGCGATACAATTGCCATAATTAAATAATAAACAATTGCACAAGTGCTGAGAATGCGGTGTACAAATTAGGTCGGTCAATAGATATAGAGCCCTCGGAGCTGGATTGTGTTTTTTGCCATGTGCAAATTGAGTTAAAGTCGCAATGGACCAAAGGAAACCCCTTCCACCCCCGCTTCTTTATTCAAATCCCAAGTTGCTTCCCAGACAACGTGACGTCGCCCAGGTTCTAGATTCTTTTCGTCAGTTCATGTGATGTATGCAAAAATTATTTGGCGATTTTATATGCAGTGTCTGCCTGATTTTCTTGAATATTGTATCTGCAAGATACGCACAAGTGGGCATGGACATCTCCTAATGGCCTGCACATGTAGAGGTTCAACAAAACAATGTCGCAAAGCAGACATTACATAAGTTTTTGATGTTCTTGCCCGTCACATTCGCTTCTCATAGGAAAAGGTGGAGATTTCGAGAGGGTTAAGTAAAGAGGGGCAGATTGATGTGTGTCTTAGATTAGATTGGATATGGTAATTGACGAGGGGAACGGCGAGGTGCTGTATAAACGAACGTTAAGACTCTTTTGTGCTCAATTTGCAATGCAAACTTAAATTGCCCAAGAAGCCAAACAAGCTGAGATCATAACTAAACAACCAATCAATTATCGATTTGGTCGGACTTATACTATTCAGTTTTCTCGTTAAAATTTAAGTGCAAACATATATTTTGGTGATTTGTAGACCCTTGCAGAGGGTATTATATTTTCAGTCAAAAGTTTGCAACGCAGTGAAGGAGACATTTCCGACCCTATAAAGTTTATATATTCTTGATCAGCATCATTAGGAGAGTCGATCGAGCCATTTCCGTCTGTCCGTTTCTACGCAAACTAGTCTCTCAGTTTTAAAGCTATCTGCTATTTGTTCTTTGGCATTTTGTAATATTTAAATATTATAGATTTACGGTTTTAATTAATTTAAAATTGGACAACAACATCATATAGCTGCCATAGAAACGATGGCAAAATGCAGCGCAAAATCGTCATTGTTTTTAGTAATATAGGCAAATATGCATTTCTAAAGAAATCGAAATGTAGTCGATTTATAATAACTGCAAGGGTATATAAACTTGCCGAAGTTTTCTTCCCTTCTTGTTTAAACTAGTTTCTGGTTTTTATCACATTTGTTAACATTGTAAATGTTATCTAAAAAATGTCGATTATATATTGAAATTCATAAATTAAGTTTTACATGTTTTTAACATGTTTAGACATGCTTAATTAGATTTTTATAGAAATATTGATTTGGGAGAGTAAAGTATTTCCTAAAACATTCTTCCCTTTCCTGCCCAAAACATCTTAATTGCTCAGCGGTTCAGTCATGTATATGAATTAATTCTCTAACGCTTTCCTTTGACAAAACTTGTCCAACTGGGCTGCCAAAAAAAGGATTTCCTACTTCCATGCTATCTTTGCCTGTTTTCCCATTTTTCACCTTGCCTTCTGTATTTGTCTGTCAATCAGTCCGTTCCGCCATTCTCTAGGTCGTTCAGTTGTCCCTCTCTATAGCGTATATAGACTGAATCCGTGATATTGTAGATAGTGTAGTAGAAAGGGGATGGAGAGCTAAAGCTTTAGCTTAGCAGCGACATCGCGTGGTTGTGTTAAATAATTGTGTCAATATTTGAGTTTCATTATTTTGTTCCATTTTGCGCCCGCTCATGAAAATCTACTTATCTCTTTATGTACATTTATATACGATCTAACAAATAAATAAGCAAGCAAGCAGAAGAGTGAGAGCCATTTCAGAGTAGTCGTTTGCTCCCTATTTTTTATACTCTTGCAGGGGGTATTATAATTTGCAGCGCAGTGAAGGCGACATTTCCGACCCTATAAAGTAAATATCTGTCCGTCCGTCCATTTCCACGTAAACTGGTCCCTCAGTTTTACACCTATCTGCTTAAAACTTTCCCAAAAGTTGTCTTTCTATTGCAGGTATAAGTCGGAACGAGCCGGATCGGGCGACTATATCAAATAGCTTCCATAGGAACAATCGGGAAAAAAATTAAAAAAAAGGATAACTTTGTTGTTTTAAATTTATTTTTTTTGTTTTTTTGGGATTTGATAATATCTAAATACTATGGAATAATAGTATTATTATGCTTTTTGATTTGTCAAAACCGGACAACAATATCATAAATCTGCTGTAGTCGTTTTGTAATAACTGCAAGGGTATATTAACTTCGGCTTGTCGAAGTTTGCTTCCTTTCTTGTTTCTTGTTAAATTCTGCAATTATCTGAGATTTTTGTGGTTTTTTAAATTGGTGCATTGCAGTACGGAAAATAGAATTTATAATTATTTTTTATAATATATATTCACGATTTAATTTTCTAAAATAAATTCTGAGAGTTATTAATTGTTTGTAAACATATTATTTATTTTAATTAACATCCTATGAATTATTAAGCCACGAATTTTTCCAATTACATTTTGCATTTATTTTTATTGTAACACTTTTGTTTTCATTTTGTGCATTTATGGCCGAGTTCAACGACTCAAAAACTGTAAATGACTGCATTTGCGTGGGCGAGTGCGAAACTCGCATATCCAAACGTTCCAAAAATAGTGCCCAGAAATATCATCGAAAACGGCTAAGTTAGGACTGACTAATTGGGCGTTTGCCTTTGATCCTATTATGGTGCATGGGATCTCGGATAGCCTGAATAAATACAATTGCTTCGCCACGTCAATCACATCATGACGTCGTCAATGGCAGCAGGCAACATCGCAGGAAAAAGCCAACAGACTGCCAACAGCCAGCGGATAATGAGGTCACAGCACATGGGACTGGGCTGGGCAAGGGCTGTGCCAAAGAAATCAAACAAACAAAGCCCAATGAATATTTGGGAATTATGAAAAAATTGCCAAAGCTAGCACACAGCGCCAGACATGGGGGCCAAAAACAAAAAGCCATCCGTAGATACAATATGAAACTGAGTACTGTGGGAATGAATAGTATTTGTAAAATTAACAAACATTGTCAAAACATTGAAATATTGGTAAATAATTAAGTATTACTTTGGGAAAACTTGTTTGAACGTTGCTATCCAAAGCACAATTCAAGCTAAATCGATTACTGAAAATAATTGTTTGTTGTTGTAAAATCCCACTGTGAATAAAAAGGGAAATAAATTTTCAAACTGAATATAACAGTGTATAATGGCAGCAGGAATAGCAGTGTATAAAGTTGGGTTTTGGAATAAGGAGGACAGCAGAAACGTCATCGTTTACACAACGTACCGCAATCGCCAAAAGTGGCTGTGCAAGAGAATTGGCAAATAACGGGGGTGGGGCGTGGTTTTGGACTAAAAGCAGTGAGACAAGGAAACGAAAAGAATATTTGGCCAAGAGCTTAAAGGGCTTTAAAGTGTACCATCATGGCCCAGACGAAGACCGGAGTGAAAGGTCGAGTATGGCGTCATTAGCAAATATTTGGGGAGGCCCAGGATATCGTCGTCATCGTTGTCCTTTCCCTCGCCAGCTATTGTGGGCATGTGTTAGTTTTTGAGAAAATCAAATGTTACATTTACTTCCCTGAGTCGCCTGCCTTTTCAGTTGTCTAACCAAATTGGCATTCAGCGAGTCGAACTCGAGCTGGCCGAAGGTGTCAAATCGCATTCTCATCATTTGGTCCTGCTCTGTCTTTTCAGGTAATGGAGAGGCGTCCTGGTGCTTCTCACAGATTAAAGGCGCCCTAGACGATGATGTCACGGATGCGGACATCATATCCTGCGTGGAATTCAATCACGATGGCGAGCTGCTGGCCACTGGTGACAAGGGCGGGCGCGTCGTCATCTTTCAGGTGAGTAAACGCATTAATAGGCACCTTAACATATATTTTACTTAAAATGTATTACACTTATGTTTCAATTGTAGCGTGATCCTGCCTCGAAAGCCGCCAATCCCCGACGCGGCGAATACAATGTCTATTCGACATTCCAATCGCACGAGCCCGAATTCGATTACCTCAAGTCGCTGGAGATTGAGGAGAAGATCAACAAGATTCGATGGCTCCAACAGAAGAATCCTGTGCACTTTCTGCTCTCGACCAACGACAAGACGGTCAAGTTGTGGAAGGTCAGTGAGCGCGACAAGTCGTTTGAGGGCTACAACACGAAGGAGGAGAACGGCCTGATCCGCGATCCACAGAACGTAACGGCCCTGCGGGTCCCATCCGTAAAGCAGATACCGCTGCTGGTGGAGGCCTCCCCACGGCGCACCTTCGCCAATGCACACACCTATCACATCAATTCAATTAGCGTTAATTCAGACCAGGAAACCTTCTTGTCGGCCGACGACCTCCGCATTAATCTCTGGCACTTGGAGGTGGTCAACCAGAGCTACAACATCGTCGACATCAAGCCAACCAACATGGAGGAGTTAACGGAGGTGATCACGGCGGCCGAGTTCCACCCGACCGAGTGCAATGTGTTCGTGTACTCGAGCTCCAAGGGCACAATACGATTATGTGATATGCGATCGGCGGCGCTATGCGACCGGCACAGCAAACAGTTCGAGGAGCCCGAGAACCCAACGAATCGCAGCTTCTTTAGCGAAATAATCAGCTCCATCAGCGATGTGAAGCTGAGCAACTCGGGTCGCTACATGATCTCCAGGGATTACTTGAGCATCAAGGTGTGGGATCTGCACATGGAAACGAAGCCCATTGAGACCTATCCGGTTAGTGCCTAAATAATCTAATTATTAATATTTTTGGATCAATACTAATTTATTTCTATAAATCTATAGGTCCATGAATACCTGCGTGCCAAACTGTGCTCGTTGTATGAAAACGATTGCATCTTCGACAAGTTCGAGTGCTGTTGGAATGGCAAGGATAGCTCAATAATGACCGGGAGCTACAACAACTTCTTCCGCGTGTTCGACCGCAATTCGAAAAAGGATGTGACGCTGGAGGCGTCTAGGGACATCATCAAGCCGAAGACGGTGCTGAAGCCACGGAAAGTTTGCACTGGCGGCAAACGGAAGAAGGACGAGATCAGCGTGGACTGCCTCGACTTTAACAAGAAGATCCTGCACACCGCCTGGCACCCGGAAGAAAATATCATCGCCGTGGCTGCGACTAATAACCTATTCATATTTCAGGATAAATTTTAGCCAACACTCTTCACAAGAACCACACCATACGCCACAATCACACCAGCAACTTTAACTACAGAAACACCAACAACTACGAACGCGCCGCATTCTAATGTTAATTCAATCGGTTTGTTTCAAAAGCGTTTTCAAATTTCACTCGCAATTCGATTGTTTGCCTAACACCATTACCTCAGGCCACCATCCATCTACACCCTTTTTTCCCTTCCCGCCTCCAAAAACCAAAACCTTACATCATACATAATGCCATAGCAAAAGCTTTGTAATGTATTTTTGCGCTAAAGGCGTATAACGAGAAACAAAACCAGAAACTTAAGAAAAAGAAACAAATTTTTATACATAACATTTATAAATAGTGAAGCGTAAAGTTGATTTCTTGTAGCGCAATTCAAAAAAAAACACATAAGAGTAATATTTAATAACAATTGATTTTCCCGAAAATTTTGTATAATTAGCGCCAGCGCCGAAGTATTTGTAATAAAAGATAATAATATACAACTTAAAAAAATCATAATATGCATATTGTAATATTTTTTCTGATTGCTTGTTAAGTTTACGAACTATGCGCCCTGTTTGCTCTTCTTTATAAACATAGACTAAATACGAATTTCCGATTGTTTATTTGTTTGACAACGTTCATTCCACGCAAAAGGAGACGATAAACCACAGAGCTTATCGATCGATTATGTCTCATTTTAAATCTCATCAACGTCAGCAATCGAACAGCCGGAAGTTGTCTCAGTCAAACCAATTCAAAATGCTCATTTAAACACTTTAATTCACTAAGAATCCAATGCTAGACCAGAAAGCAGAAGTCAAAGAAGAGGCAGACGCGGAAGAAGTATGAATTAAATGCATTGATAACGTATGCATTGCAAGTTAAAAAGATACATATATATACATAAAAAAACGCAGCCTAAGTTAAAAATACAATTTAGTGTTCTCAATTCGTTTAATTTAGTCTCTACCTAAAATGAAAAAAATACAAACAAAAAGAAAACACTATTTTTATACGCTACATTTAAGCTAAGTATTGCTACTTTTAGTTCAACTATGCGTGCGTGCGTCCAAGACCAATTCTCACATATAGTCTGCCTGCCCCCTTGGCCCCGCCCCCGTTTTCATCGGTCAACGATTTTTCCAACCTCTTTATTGTTTTGTAAAGTTTCTTTTATCCATTGTCATGTTTTCCATAAAGAACTATAAACAAAACTGAACCATTTTTATAGGTTATCTAGTGTCTAGTGTTAACAAAAAAAAATATATAAAAACAAACCATAAATGAAAATAAAAGTAAATAAACGATGCGCTGAAAATGTTAAACGAAAAAACTCTGAAAAATGTACGGCAGCAAGTTCAAAATACTGAAATGTAAACGCATAAAATGATGAAATAAAAACTTAAACAACATAAATTGTGCTTCTTATGAGAATAATGATATATTATTAATATTGTATTTTCAAAAAACTAGTTATACGAAGAGAGAAGAGTGCAGCGGGATAACAGATATAGAAGATAACCAAAATTGTTTAGAAAATAAGAATTCAGTGACATTTGGCTTAGACCTTGAGTGAAAATCGTATACAAATTTTCCACACTTTCGATACAATTATTTCGGTTGCAAGTTTAATTTTTTCGGTTCACCATATTATTTAATTTTTTTTGCAACGCACATTTTTATTCATTGATCTTTGACATGCCTTTTTGTAAATAAAATCGCAACCACAAAAGAGAGAACTTAAAACGTAAAACATTATTCATTAAATGAAATAAAATCGAAAGCAGACGAGTAGATAAACAATCGCAATTGCTGTTTACTTAAAAATGCAAACAGACAAAAATTGCAATTGATTAGTTTTAAAAATATTAATTGAATTGCTATTCAGAATAAAATCTAATAAAAGCAAACTTAAGGATAAAGTTTAGTTTTGCAAGCAAGAAAATTGAGAAAAATAACGAAAATGTGTTTTAGTAGGGAAGAAATGGGGGAAGAATTTATATTTTGTTTAAACGTTCTTCAAAAAAATCCTTTTAATTTAATACAAGGGTTTGGGTTTTATATATTTGGATACGTTTGGCTGGTTTTGGATTGGTCAAATTTGTAAACTTCTAAAACGTATCTTTGAATTCAAAATTAAAATAGCTAGCCAAGTTAATAAGCCAAATAATAAAAATTTTAAATAATCAGTTGTCCTTCAAATTCATAAAATCTTTTTTTATTGCCTAAACTCATTTCTTTAAACTTATTCGTGGAAGATTGTCAATTATATTTTGTGGGGTATTATTTTAAAATTCTTAAAAACCAAACTAACCACATAAACTACATGTAGTTGCAAAATACAATGCTATCATAATACCTTTGCAGAGCACAGTCAAAAGATTGCGACGCAGTCAACTTAATTCGGTTCAGGAAACCTTCTTGTCGGTCTACGACCTGCGCATCAATCTCTGGAACTTGAAGGTGGTCCACCAGGGCTACAACCTCGTCGACTTCAAGCCAACCAACATGGAGGGGATCACGGCGGTCGAATTCCACCCGACCGAGTGGAATGTGTTCGTGTTATCGAGCTCCATGGGTACAATACGCTTGTGATATGCGATCGGCGGCGCTATGCGACCGGCTAAGCAACAAGTTCGAAAAGCCCGAGAACCCAACGAATCGCAGATTCTTTAGCGAAATAATCAGCGATTTGAAGCTGACCAACTCGGGTTGCTACATAATCTCTAGGAATTACTTGATCATAAAATTGTGGCATCATGAAAACAAAGCCCATTGAGAAAAACACCAGATTACTTAGGCACTAACCGGATGGGTGGTATGTGCCTAATTAATCTCATGTGTTTTTTAATGGGCTTAGTTTTTACCGGATTTGTCTTAAATTATTTATATAATATCAGATTGTCAATGGTGTCTCGTGTGAAATTATTTTTAAAGTCTTCCAAATTAGCTTCTTATTATATGTAGTTGGAAAATACAATGATTTTATTATACCTTTGTAGAGTTTGCGAAGCAGTCACGGAAAGTACAAAGTCGATCTGGCGAAGTCCTAGATTATGACTTTATCATGACACAATGTCTTATTGGAACAGTCAAAAATATAAATTAACAAAATTATTACTTTGTAATTTTAAAAAATATATGGAATACTTCAAATAATATCTGAAGTCCGGTTTTAATTTTATAAAAATAGTACGATTGAAAATGGTTTTGGAAAACAGGCGCTTCATTGTGTATTAATACTATAAGTGTGAACTTATAGTTTAAAAAATCGAAATATAATCATTTGATTGGAATAAACTTCGGATCTGCAAAGTTTGCTTAAACCTCTTAAACACACCTCGCATTTTTTTAAATGCAACAGTACCGTTATGGGCACTATTGGCCATTTCAATGCCAGGCACGCACGCGCGCGACCAAAGAGAGAGGTAGAGAGAGCAGTGCGCACTTAACATGACCAAGGCGTTGGAACTCCGAAAGAAACCCAAACCGAAATAACGGCGGCTTTAAGTCTCAGTTCACTCAGATCGGTTGGACGGTGCGGTTCGCTTTCGATTTCGGCTTCACAGTAAAAGAGCTAAATATAAAAAAAAACGCCGGAACTGCGGCCTAAACCTGTTTTGGCCAAGTGATCACAACAACAATAGCAGCGAAAACGCATGCAAGTGACGAAACGACCTTAAGCAAAAGAAAAAATAAATTACTTGACTCTCTAATAATACTTTACATACATATATATTTGGAAACCCAAGAAATTAAGTGACGCACCGAGCGAAATAAAAAAAACCAAAATGCAAAATGTTGCGACGTGAATAAGCGTCAAAGAAAATATTGAATCCGAAAATTTAAACGTGGCTTAGGAAGTTGGGTGTATAAAATAACGAGTCCGGAACAGCAAAAATAAGAAAATAAAATGGCTTTGGGCAACAAAGGGGGCAGCAATGTTCTTTGTCTGCGATTGCAGCGACAATTATTACTGGTTGTTGTAACGCTTTTCCTGTTTTTCAACGCCGCCCGTAAGTTCATAGACTAACTAAATTGCAAGCCGAACAATAACAAGAAAAACAAAGCAAACTGCAAAAGAAAGAGAAATTTTGATTGGCGTTACGCTCGAGACGGGACAAGGCGAAAACAAATTCACTTTCGTGTAAAACTAGAGAAACTGGTCTAGTCTTGGATTTGCCTCTCTGAGTTCCCGCCAGGGGGCGCCACATGGCCCAGTGGCAGTAATTCAGAAACCAAATTGTTGGCTTATTAGTCAGAGCCGAAAACCAAAACGAGTTTGTTGTCACAGTCTTTCGTTTGCGATTGGTTTTCTTTTTGCCGGCTTTTGAGTTTTCTTAACTATTTCTTTATCAATTAGTGACCCAGGACGAAGAAAATGATGGTCCATATCGTGGAAAATACCTCGGAAAACTCAACTCGTACCATCATCAGGTATCCGGTGATGTGTATGCCGTAAATGAGTACACCTTCTTGATAGTGGGCTTCAACTACGACGGCAACGGGGCGGATACTTTCTTTTGGTCGGGCGCCAGTAATCGCCCTGGACCTCAAGGCTTCATTGTGCCCGATGAGTATGGCAAGTAAGTGCATTGGTTTCATTTGATGTTAAACCTTTTTTTGGTTAGAGATAAAAAGTACGAATTTATTTTAATTTTGTCTGTAAATACACGTACAATTGAGATTTATTTTTACACAGTAAAGTGGATGTCCTTAAAATCATTTTAAAAACATTGTTAAAAAGTTTACGTTTACCTAATTACTCAAAAACCTTAGTCATCTATTTTTTATGCAAATATAGAAAACAGCGTTAATTATCTAAACTTATTATTTCCGATTGTTACCGTAGAACCAATATTCTGGATCGGTATCACAACAAGGACTTTACATTGACGCTGCCGGATCGAAAAAAGATAACGGAAATCAAATGGTTGGCGGTCTACGATCTGAACAGTCAGAACAACTTCGGGGACGTTTATATTCCCGAGGAGTTTGAGCCACCTATGCCCCAGCTGGGCGGAACGTTCTCCAAGCGCAGCCACAATGTGAGCAGCAGTAGCATTGAGATTCTGGACTCGAAAACCATTCGCATCAAGGACTTTACCTACGATGGGCGTGGCAAGCGCACCTTTTTCTGGGCGGGAGTGGGGGCACAGCCATCGAGTCGAGGAAGCAAACTGCCGGATGAGCGGGGATAGTAAGTATTATCAGATAGATTAACGAGTTAATTAATATTTTAATTTTATCTACTATGTTTTAGCCTCGACCCAATTAGGAAATACAACAAGGAGACCGTTGAATTGGAACTTCCGGGAGACAAGACCATCTTCGACATCGACTGGATCAGTGTTTATGATGTGGCCGATAATGAAAACTACGGTCATGTGTTAATCAACGATGGACTGAATGTTCCACCGTCGCTGGTGAAAGTAACGAAATTCGAATTCTCTCTGCCCAATTGCCGGCAGCTACACAAGGATATGCAGGTGTCCTGGGAGGTATTTGGTCCCCAAATCACGTTCCAACTCTCCGGTCAGGTGGCTGCCAACGATTACATGTCCTTCGGAATATCCGGATCGGATGTGTCCAGCCAAATGATCGGCTCCGATGTGGTGGTGGCCTATATGGACGAGATCAGGGGATATACAGTGGATTACAATATCACTTCGCTGGCGCCTTGCGTTCAGGTTTTGGGCCAGAACAAAGGAGTGTGCCGGGACGACGTGGTCGGTGGATTGGACAGCTTTCAGTTAAACACATACAGTCGCAAGGATGGCATCAACACAATCAGTTTTAGGCGGACCCTCAAGTCATGTGAGTAAAAATCTATTAAATTAAGTTTTTATTAATAATTTTCATCTCTTTAGCCGACGATGGCGATAAAGAAATCTTTCTGGACCGCAGCAACTACGTAGTTTGGGCCTTTGGCCAGTTGGACTCAAATAACGAACCTGCCTTTCATACATACTATCCCAAAAGTGATATAGTTATAGATTTTAACACCACGGAGGCTGTAAATGATTGCTTTGACTTCACTAAAAGTGTGGATACGCCTCCCCCTCAGTTGTGGGAGCGGACCAGGATAACAGATGCGTAAGAATAGAATCTTTCTCTACAAGGAAATTCTAATATCAATAATTAACTATTTTACAGAACTGTACGCACTTTTAATGCCTATTTGGGACCCTCGGGAGGACTCCGTGGCTATCAGGGACTGACAGGTCATGTGTCTAGCGGTTTGGCTTGGTACATAAACGGCTATATGATCCCAGAACTTTACCTTAAGCGGGGCCTGACCTACACCTTTAAGGTGAGGGGTGGTAATAATCCCCACTCGCCGGAGCACTATCATCCGCTGGTTATTACCGATGACCCTCAGGGAGGCTATGATCGCTTGTCGGATGCCAAGCAGAGTGAGATTCGCGTATTGGCCGGAGTGGAGTTCACTAGAAGGGGCAGACCCAAACCTACGGCTGCTGGTCCTTTGTGCCTCTCCAGATATCCTCCGAGTTATGATCGCAGGCTGGATGATAACTTCCCCACATTCAAGAAGTTCAATCGATCGCTGATCACCGAATGTGTGGATGAGGCACCGGCATTGTTGGAAATTACGCCGAATATCACCTGGCCGGATACCGTGTACTATAACTCCTTTACCCACGGAAATATGGGCTGGAAGATTCACATCGTGGACAGCTACAGCAATCTGAGAAGTGGAGCGAAGGCTTTATCCTGGTCTTTATGCATCATCCTGCTGCCTTGGCTGGTGCTCCAGTACTGACTGTTCTCTCTTAGTTTCTTAGTGTAAATTAAGCAGTCACAATCTATGTATTTAATACGCGTGTGTAGAATGTATGCTCATGCTGTGTATATTATTATTTAAATCGTATTTAAATACAGAACTGTGTTGTACTTTAGAGTGAATGAGCTTGTAACTTATTTAAACATTAGAAGAAGTAGTTGCCCTGCATGTATCCAAATGAGTATTCTAACTGGGAATGCAAAGCATGATGTGCTGTTTTGATACCAACTTCTTATAGAGGGCAAAATAACAACTGCAACAACTTTCAACTTTTTTGAGTTATTCAAATTTATTTGAATAATTGCAGTTTTGGTTTACTAGAATTACCGAAGCTTCTACTGATGCTTGATGGTGTAACGTCAGAAAACCACCCATAATAAGAAGCAAAAAGGCATCTATGAATCCGATTCTTGCTTCTTGCGCGGCTTTGGCTTTCCGTTAACCCAGGGAGTGAACTGCACATGGCTTATGTCTCTCTTAGCAGCATCTGCACGTAACTCCGCTCGAAGGGCTTCACGTACCACCCGGGCAGCAATGTTCGAATATTGGATGTAAGTAAGTCCTGCATCTCTCCAGATTTTCATGACTATCAAATTATTTTCAATCCTTCAGAAGCCTGTATGATTTTAAATTTGTAAAAGCGCATAAGACATAAGTCGGAACGACTGCAGTTAGAAGACTTTACCTGCTTTGAAAACGATTTCCAAGAATCAGCCACTAAACCAAAAGAAAATGTACTCGTATTGACGCTTGTAAAGAGTCTGGTTTTATTGAATAATTATATATGTAGCTCCGATATTGTCCGAACGTATTCTTTTGAACGTATTCTTTTCTTTTTCAGAATGACAGAGAACGTTTCTTTCGATATCTTTCTCTTTTTAGCCCAGGGATACGATACAAGACGTACAGTCAAAAATGTGAATCTGGTTCGATTTATACGAAATCGATACATTTAGTTAAGTGGCTTGGTATTTATCCGAAAGCGATAAAAAGCGATGCTTTACTGATTAAATATAGTTAAAAATGATTAAAATATTTAAATGAAAGAAAATAATATTCTGATATCATGGTTTAAAAATGTTCCAAATCCTCGTAGGGCAGTTGTTTATATAGCGAATTTAACACAAAGGAAAACAGAAATATTAAGGCTGTGATGTACTAAATAAATATATATATAAATAAATAATAAAATTATTAAGATATTTAAGTGAAAGAAAGTAATATTTTGATTGCGTGGTTTAAAAATGTTCCAATACCTCTTTTTGAAACCAGTAGTTTTTTAGAGCAGTACTTAATATAGCTAATTTAACACGAAGGAAAACAGATATTTAAAAGCTGTTCTGTACATTTAGGAAACATTTTCACTTCATTTATTAAATGATGTTTACAAATTCTTAAAATATTTAAATGAAAGAATCAACAATACCGTGTCATATCCGCATAAGGAGCGGTCAAATGCGTTTTATCTGCACTTGCGCATTTGGGCACACTATTTTACACGTAAGCAATCGATTTTTCCTTTACGAAAAGAACAAAGTTGAAGAAAATGTCTGCTCTTGATGCCAAAAAAATAGCCGAAGCTGAGGCTTTAATGGGCCAAGTCGATAGTGCCCCGGATGAGTATGCTAAAGCTGGTATGTATTTCAAGGCTGCAACTGCATATCGATTGGCCAAAAGCTCGGATAAGAGCAAGGATTGTTTTTTGAAGGCCATCGACTGTTACGAAAACAACAAGTCGTGGTTCCACGCTGCCAAATCATACGAGCAGATTATTTTGCTGGCCAAAGAAAACGGAACTCTGTCCGAAGTTGAGGAATATGCAAATAGGGCTTGCAGTCTCTATCAGCAACATGGTTCACCGGAAGCAGCTGCTGCAGCACTGGATAAAGCCGCCAAAATGACGGAATCCAAACATCCTGAATTGGCATTGGAATTCTACAAGCGGGCTCTGGCCGTCGTATTAATTGGAGATGCCACCCATCAAGCATCTGAATTCGCATCGAAAGTGTCAAGAATATTGGTGAAACTCAAGAGATACGAAGAAGCGAGCAAGGCTCTTAAAAAGGAGATAAGCCTAAACCTTCAAACAAAATCTTATGGACAAGTTGGTCGCTTAGTCGTGGCCTTGGTACTAGTGCAATTAGCATATGGAGATCTCGCAGATGCCAAAAAGACATTCAAAAAATGGGGAAATCGTTGCGAGCACCAAGAAGTGTCCACATTGCAAAAACTATTACAAGCTTTTGATGATGGGGACCAAGAACTAGCTGCCAAGGTGCTGGCGTCCCCATTTATCAGACATATGGATGTGGAGTACGCCCTTTTATCGAAGAATATTTCCATGCCACAATGTATACAAAATGGAATTTAAGTGGAGAAGAAAGCAATCAATACTGGAAATTAAGCATATCTTGTTTTCTATGGTGTGCATAGTAGTCATTTGTATTTATTGTTCCTTACATTAACAAAAAGCTTTAAGAATGTACACTGTTAAATATATACAAAAATATAAAGTGTTAATTAAAAACAAATCATTAGAACTCTTTCTGTGCCTTAAAGAAATACATTTTTAAGCAAGTTAATACACATTTTATAGTCTTTTAAATACTACTTGATACTAAAATCTTTACACACTTTTATACGAATTTTACACACGATTTCTACACAGTCAATATCTCATAAACTAGACTAATAAATTGAGTACAAATTACATTTTAAATTGTTGTTCAAAAGTATGCAACGTTTTCGCTCCATTAGCCATTTAATAATTTAAAACAAAAGCTCTTTCAAAATCATTGTTCAACAAATAAATTTCAAAATTTAACAACAAATCTTAACAAAAACGTGTTTTAAAATCAAGTTTTGTGCATTTATTTCATGTTCTTTTTGGAGAAATCATGAAGGTTTGAGGGTTCCTTTTGAAGCTACTTGATGTCTTCGAAGTTGGCTTAACTTTTAAGTTTTAATTGTATTTTAAATCAGCAATCGGCTTATCGGACTTTAGATTATTATAGGACTCTACTCCATGCATGTATCTCCCACAGATAAGATATAGTTGAGCTTGTGGGTATAATTAGCTGTGCCATCACTAAACCGGCGGACACACGCTCCAATCGCACTTGAAGTGCGGCCAAGTGTCATTTCGCAACGAAATGAACAAAAATGATTAAGTATGGCCAGCAATAAGCGAAATCAAATTGCATGACCCGCTGTTATTGTAGTTGATTTATTTAGAGTCCATCTAGTATCAATTAGCGTTATCAGGCCGTGCAATTGGTCAGTTGACGTTGGCAGTTATCAGTGATTTATGAATACTATTCGGTGATAAATACTTTATTCCAGTTAATGACCCCTTCGAGGAATCACACTGTCCAGGGACCCTAAAAATTTTTACTCCAGCTGGGGTCTTGTGATAAAAATATGCAGAAGAACTGTTCACCATCTATTTTTGGAACTCCCCATAAACCGATATTGGTCAGTCTGAACTTTAAACGGAAATAAGCGGTTACTTTTAAGTTGCGTACATATATGCCACTTTTAACCATAAACACAACGAATGCTTGTAAAATGTTTCATTTATTATCTGTGATCTTTGCACTTAACGAACTTTACACAAACTGACTAGCTGAATTCTTGTTCTGTTCTGCATTACAATTAATGAGTATAAATTGTCTGGTCTGACGTTGCTCTCCTGTGTCGCCGGTATTTGGATTGTTAATATATGTAGTTGGTAAACAAATTCGTTGTATTTAACGATTCTTTGGTACGAGTATGTCATTGGCTGCTCTCTTCGGGGTGGTATCCGTCTTAAATCTACAGCAGGAACTTCTGGCCCGCCAGGATGAGCGCCATGATCAAGGACACGGATGCAGTGACTCCTGCTGCCCCCGAACGATCCTCGGGCTGCTCGACCAGGACCACCGCTCGATTGTTCTCGCTCTGCAGCTCCCTGTAATTGTTGTGCAGCTGCTTGCCCTCATCATACTCGATCTCCTTGAACTCGTTGACCTGGTCCAGGGTCACCGGGAAGGTATTGGTGAGCACAATCCAGGTGACGGCCTCGGCGCAGGTGGGCGTGGTCAGGGAGCCGGCGTAGGTGAAGTAGCTGTCCACACCGGGAACTAGGTCGTCCACGGCCAAGGAATCTGCCACCTGGGCAGGCTTATTCATGCTCCCGTAACTTTTCACAGCCTTCAAGCTCTTGATGATGCTGCCGATGGCCTCGTTGGGCGTGTTGGACACATGGTACAGCACTCCAATTACCACAATGCCATCTTTGAAGCCGGCCGCCATGGTCATGTTGGGGTAAATGGTGTTCCTATGGACAATGTGCACTTCCAGCGGATAGCGGATGTCGTTGATGGTGTGCTCCGACCACCAGTGCATGTGGATCTGCTCCACCACGTAGTCATGCAGCAGGGCACCACCAGTCAATGTCAATTCGTGATCAAAGCCAGATAGTTGAACTATACAACAGAAGAAAATAATTACTCATTGGATTATTTCCAATTTCTGACATATATCTAAAAACTCACTTGAATGTCCATTGTTGACCATTAGCAGATTTTTCTGATGCTCATCGTAGTTCTCGAACTTCAGAGGATCAAACTCGCCCTTCAGGGCCCCTTTGACATGCAGATTAATGGGGCTTTGCTTCCTGCCACTATCGCAAAGACCGCCCCATTTTGGAAAGGCTGTGGAATGTAAAGATCATCCATCAATGTCAAAAACTGACAATTATATATTCTTGTCAAATTGATTTGTATTATTGTGAATATCTCCAAAAGCTATTTTTTTATATCAATTTACGCCGAATTTATTTCCTTTTTTCAAAATTTTTGCACTAGTCAAATAAGGAATTTAAAATCATAAATCAAACTTTACATAATTGAACGCTTGTTTTTTAATAAAAAGTATACAATTTTACTCCAGTCCATTATTTGTTAAATTGATTTTCATTATCTTAACTTTCTGCACAAGCAAAATTTTTATTTGAAATTAAATGCTCATAAATCAAACTTTAAATAATTGAACGATCTTTTCGTCAATTAAAAACTCTAGGCAGAAGTTCAATTTCCGCAGAATTGCTCAAGTAACAGTCCAAATTTATCATTATTCATGTTCAATTTGCATACACAACAATTTGGCCCAATTTAACTAAGCTCAAGTCCGGAGCGTGCACACAGATAGATATACTCGTATATCCGAGCACATTTGAATCGAGCCCTGGTATGCAAAACACTTGACAATGAGCCAGCCAGAGCAGAGTGACCCACTCGCCGTGGCGTTGATTAACTAATTTTAGCAAATAAACTCGATTGGCTTTACTTACGCTCATCCTGATTGCTGTCCAAGTCCGGGTAGCCCCATTCGTTGGCCCAGCTGAGGGCCACAGAGCAGCAGACTGCGAACGAAAACGAAAGAACGGGGGTGACAGATAAGTATCAAGTATACGCCGTGTGGGACCGTCAAATGAAAACGATTTTAATAAACTTCAACTTGACCGACTGCGCGCAGAGAACGCTTGAGGGCCACCCAAAAACAAGCACATTAAAAACTGCACTTGACGATGGGCCATAAAAGCAATGGGATAAATACTGACAGAGGGTCAATCTACACATGTTTGGCAGCCTCAGCCAAAAACACGGCACCTTGCACTTGACTCGGCTAAAAATACCCATGAAATTTATGATTTCAGCCACATATATTCGTATATAAGTACCAGTGTATCTGCAGGCAGACATTAATGTTTCATTAACCTGCGAATTGTCCACATATTGTGGCTTTCTCCTCCTCCAGCTTTGCTAAAAGCATTTTGACATCTGCGCATCAAAATATCAACTAAATTTAATGCGTGCGGCTTTTTAGTTTTTACGATCCATTTTGGTATTTAAAAACCACTGACCCATCCACATAACTCGTCTCTAGCGTGATCTGTGATCAAATGACCGTGTTTATTAAGCCATATTCAACATTAATGGGTTAATAAAAAAGTCCGCATACAAGTGTTATAATTTATGTTCTGTCTTTAATCTTTCGAGTATTTATGCTTGCCGCATGGCATTTTTGCAAGTTGGCCTGCAAAAAAGACAAATGACGACCGCAGCTGTGAAAGTAGAGTACTAAATATACCCAAGTATAAATACTATATGTTGTATATAATCTTTTTAATTTACTTTTTGCCGGGCAACGTGCTCATCAGCTGAGGTGTACATATTATAGTCTTGGGTTGCCCTGTGACGCAATGAGACCGAGGAAAAGATCTCTGAGTTATAGCAGTTTTCGATTATAAATAATATTTCATTATTTAATGATTTTTTTTTATAATTCACTGGGCAAGCGGAGAGTACTTATGGAGATTCAATTTGAATTAATAGTGAAATTGTATTGAATTAGTGCCGTATCAAGAGTCGTAAAAATATTCCTTTTAATTAAGAAACGATCACAAGACGTAATGACTTTAACGTGAGCGGTTTGTGGATTATATGTGATTGGCTAATGAAATATCCGTCAGATGCCAAATCGAAAGGAATCACTTGATCGCGAACCCTTGCCATCTCAAAAACATTTTCAACGGACATGCAACGAATGTCGGGCAACTATTTAAAGTGCAATTAAATTTGCACATGCAAAGCTCGGACAATTAAATTTGAGTGTCTAAAGCTTTGATAGCTGATAATAGGAAACGTTCTGTAATTTAAGGCCCCCGGGGTGTAAAAGTTAACAAAACTGTAATTTAAAACAGGCAATGCAATGGGCGATAATCATGTGAAAAATCGCGCAAAATAAACAGCTGCATACAGCTGAAGTGGAAAATGCACTCAACCCGTGAATTCGTCAAGTGAAAAAAATTGTATATTCTCCTGCTCTTGAGAATCAAAACGGAATTCATTGCCGCGATGTTCTGGCATTGGAACGGCTTGTATCAACTGCTGTTTATTAAATCATTGCGGTCTTGTCAGCAGAAAAGAATCGAAATGATTTCGCTAGCTAAGCAGTCGCGATAAAGACCCCGTCTGTCGCTTGGGCTGTTTAGTTTTTTTGTCAAATCACTGCGGTATCGAGATTCCCCCAAAATATATAGAGCACTCAGTGATTTTCCAGCCGCAATTTTATTTACATTTTACTGAGCCTCATAATCAAAGATATCTCCCACCGATAAACGATTTCGGGAGTGCACGCGATTTAATGACCCATTGTCTTAAAAGCCTGCGATAAAATGCGAATCCAATAAATACACCGCAGGTCACGTGGATGAAACCATTAAAATTGATAGACGTTATCATTTGTCAAAATAAATATTCAATAAATAATATTTCAAGATAAACCCGAATATTATCTATTGAGATGGGTAAAAGACCTATAAAATAAACAAAAAAATAATTTAGTATTTTATTACTAAACAAACTTCCGTTTAAATAGGCACAGATAAACATTATTATCTTAAAGAAATAAA